CCATCGAAAGTTTGTACTACCTCTTTACTTGGGATTTCCAAGTAAGTTTCTGTCTCTTTGGTTTCTTAGCCTTCTACGCCTGGTGGTCTTATTGTGGGTTTGCCCGAAGCCTTATACAACACTAGTTTTACATTCTTTTATGTACTTGTACTTTGTAATATTACACTTCACATAGATGCCCCGAGCTTCCAATGTCAGGTGGGACCTAACTTGATGTACCTAAGATTACAAATGCCCAAAACCTAACCGATCGGTAAGAGACAGTTACCATAACACAGGTATAATTTTCAAAATTCATTATCTGTAGGAATTGAACCTTAAACCTGCCACTTGAGGGTTGACAACCTATTCACTTCACTAGGTCACCACACCCTTAATCAAAAATTTTGTATCAAACTTAGATAATTTATAATAATATTAATATATAAGCACTTTGAATTAGCAATTTAGTTATTTTAAAACTCTAAAAAATAAATAAATAAAATTTTATTTTATTAGATTCATTGGATATTTGTAATTGAATATAATGATTTAGTGAATTAGAGGAAAATTAGTCAGATATTTACAAATTCAAGCACTAATAAGAAATTTGTAAATTTGATCTTTAAATTAGTTCTAATAAATGCTAAACTTTTAACCAAATTTTACATAGATGACTTTTTATATATTTGATTGATAGCAAGCATTAATGTAATTTATGTTCTTTCAAATCACATCCAATAATCAAAAAAAAAATAAGTTATACAAATTTAACAAATTATTTAAATATAGTTATAGGTAGTAACAATATGTAATTAGTTTTTTTAGGTTTATAAAACTTTATATTGGGTTTTTCAAAATTAAATCTGAACATTTTAATTTATTTTTCTATTTCAATATAGTAAAAATCCTATTTATTTTTAAAATGTGTTATTTATTTGCTAAACTTAAAACTCTTATTATGAAACTTATATTAAAGTAAAGACTGCAATTAAATTGGATTATAATTGTTTTTTACAATAATTATAATTATATAAAAATTAAACTAGAATTAAATTATTAAACTCAACCTCTAGAGTCAATAGCATAACAGTTATGCTCTGAGGTTATGAATCGCAAGGTTGTCAGTTCAAATTCTAGTAATAGCAATTGTAGAGATGTATTTTCAAAATAAAGAACTGCAACACTGTGGAACCAGAGACCCAGGATGTCCAACAGATGAACTTATTTCTAGAAATGGCAAGTGACTTGCAGTTGAAGCTACATGATAATAAACATGAATTAGAACCTAATTTAGAATAACCAAAGTCATGAGATGTAATGTGAAGCTAAAAGTTTGACAATAAGAAATACTACATGAACTTATGATGATAGTCAGTTCTAAACTGAACTTGATAAAACCTTCTGATATTGGCAAAGATTAGTGTAACAAATCACTTCTGAAAAGTTTAAAAGCATGAACTAAAGAAGGTTGAGGTTCAGTGACTAAAGACATTTAAGAACATTAGTTCAAGAATATAGAAACATAAACAACCTCAGCAAGATTGTTAAAGAGTAAAAAAAAAAATTAAAATTATTAAACTCAAAATCTACAAACATAAAACTACTTATCAAATAATTTCTTTATAACAAATCTTCAAGTATTTATAATCTATTTTAATCTAATGTTATTATTGAGTTATTATTACATTTAAACTTTGTCTCAAACTTAATGATTATGCTTTTTTAGTTTAAAAACTGTCTTTAAGTAAAGTTTACCTAGATAAAATAAATCACAGAGATATTCAAGATATTTAAAGTTTCATTTATAAAGTCATCTGTAATATTATAAATAGTGGTTACATCTTCAAAAAATTTTACTACGTTAGGAGATAAAAATATTGCAATGTTAATTAATAAATCAAAAATTTACTGGCCTGGTCTATTAATAGTTAACTAAATAACTTTATTACATATATATAATAATAAAATATATATTATATATCGATATAAACAATTTAACCAGTACTAATTTCTTGAACTGAGCTGATCAAATTGACCAAATCAAAGTTGAATTACTTATATATAGATATTAGATATATTTGATTGTGATTAAAAAAAAATTAAGTGGTTTGGTATATATTACTAGATCACTTGATATAAATGTCTATACCACTATAACAATTGGCCAATATGTGATCCTTAGGCTTAGCCAGCTATCATCCTATTTTCAGTTACCATCTATCTGAAGATCTGATTATACTAAGCAGTCATACAATTCTTCTTATATATCCCTAATAAGAAATATTCAATTCAGACATCAGGTAACCTTCTACAAGATCTGCTAGTTCTTCAGGAACTTCTAGCAAATTCGGTTCCACCCATGTATATAGTCTTATGATCACTATAGTCAAGATGCAGTTGAGTAGCAGATTCTATGAATCAAGCAGTTTACCCTATATAGAATTCAAACCTTGACCATTACAGTCATAAAATACTACTAACAACCAGAACTATTGGTATCAAGAACCTCAAAATAATTTTTTTGAACCCTTTATAAACAATAATATAAATTTAATTGGCTACATATTATGTATAATTTAAACATTATTATTTGCAAAGTATCTAGTTCTAGTAAAAAAAAAATCTCTTATTGAGATTTTACTTGAACTGCCATATTCTAGTTAGACAAATGCGATGAAATTTTTATAAAATTACTATAAGTATTGATTATTTACTGATTGATCAAATTAATAACGTTGACTATTTTTTTTATAATAAACTTTTTTTCTAAAACGGTAGTTTTAAGTAAATTTAGATTATAGTAAAATTTTATTAAACCAAATATATGAAGAAATCAATAGAAAAGGAACAAATCATTTTAATAAAATTTTTTTAATTTTTAATAAATTTTTTTTTATTTTAATTTTAGAATTATATAAAATTAAATAATTAGATAGTTGTTGAGGTATTTAAGCTTAAAGTTGAGAAAACTTTTACTTGAAAAAATTTTCCTTTTCTATTAACTTCTCCCATATAGGAATGTATATTACTAATGCTTTAGTAACAATAATAACAAGGCAATAATATATACAGTATTATGTACTTTGTATATCGATATGTAATTGTTTATCATTTAACTCAGGACTTAATACTGTCTATTTAGTGGGTTTCAAAAATTTTTATAGTAAGACTTGACCATCCAAGTGCAAATTATCATTAAAATATTTTACGCAATCCGTGCCAACTACAATAAATTTAGTTTCAATAGACGATTAGTTAGTCATAATCGTAAACCTTTATATATATATAATTTTATAAAACATAAGTTATTGTTTAAAAATGAAACGTATAAATGAATGTATACACATGCAATTATTACAGTCATAAAATGATTAAATTCATATATTGTGATATTTTATAATTGATTATCTTATATTATTTAACCTAATATCAAGGATTTTCCAACAAAAAATTGGATGCCTTTTCTACGTCATAATCGTATCTCCCAAGTGCGTCTATAACTTTTTCCCTCGAAAATCCCATAGCTCTTAATTGTTTGACTTGCTCTACATCATCATCATTGTCGTTCATGCTTTGAACCTTTGGTTGTGAAACTTCAGATAAAATTGATTTTTTTGAATCATTAGTTGTTGTGGACTTTGGATCAAATGGTAGTTCTGTTTTGGTGGATGGTACCGTTGGTCTAAGGAGTAGTTCCTCGAATGCATCCTCAAAGCCAATAGATGGGTTTGTTGATTTTTGTGGCTCTCCTGAAATTCCACCAAATGCTGCATCTACCAGGTTGGGTTTAGTAGCATTTGAAGTTACGCTTGATGAAAAGGGGTCAAAGTCACCAAATGCTTTACCAAATTTATCAAAATCTGTTGAACTATTTTTTGTTGAATTAATTGATGAGGTTACACCCATGTTACTTCCGATACTGCTTGTATTGGATGCAACTTTAGAATGCGTGACAGGTGCATCAAATGTGGGATTAAAATCTTCCTTAAAGTCTGTGTCATCAAAATCTGCATCAAAGTTAATAGGTGGAGTTTTTGTTACTTTGGCATCTGTTAAGTCTGCAAATACCGCATCAAAATCATCTATTTGGGTTGTAGATTTTGATTCAGATGACTTCTCTACAGAAATCCATGGTTCAGAATCTTTCAGAGATGTCAATCCTCCTCCCAAAGATTCCGACATTTCTCCCGCAATAGGAGCAGAAGATGATTCCACCTCTTTATTAGATGCGTTTATTTTATCTTTGACCTCTTCCATAGGTATCTCCTTGCCAATTGATGAGTTTCCTGGCAAAGCGGATTCTAGTTCACTCGATACAGGGTTATAAGTCAAAACTTCCGAATTTAAAGTGATTTCATTTTCATTTTCTGTATTAGTAGGAATGCTAGAAAAATCATTATTAAATCCTATTTTAGATCCGCTTTCTACAGATGCTTCAATTTCTTCTATACTAGGGAACTCAGTTGCAAACGATTCTGATGTTATATCATTATTCGAACTCAACGCCGTTGAGAAGGTTGAAGTATAATCTGTTTTACCAGTTGATGATCTTTTGAAATTGCTGAATGATGCAAAAGGATCAGTGTCCGATTTTTCTTCACTCTTTTCAACAATTTGCTGTGGAACGTTATCAGATTTTGTTATATCTTTATTAAATACTGTAAAAGGTGTATTAAATGAAGTATCAAATGAATTTACACTACGAGAACCACTAACTGTAGTCTCATTGTTTTGAGGAGTGGTGCTCACTGTATTTTCACCAAATATATTATTTACATCAATTGGCTTAGAATTGGGTACAGAGCTGGATTTATCAAACATGGTTTCTTCCAGTTTTGAAGAACTAAATGATGACGATTTGACACTAGAAGTACCTATAGTGGAATTAGAAGCAAGTGAAGAATTTGACATTGTTCTTTTAACACCACCTTCAAGAGATGATATTGAAGAATGTTGATTATGGATGATGATTCTTGACGGACTCGAATTATCAATAAATTCCAAGTTAGGTTGCGAATTTGTATTTCCTTGTGATGAGAAACTGTCAGATGAATTAACTGTTGGAGGTATAAATGCCCCAGTACCAAATGGATCATCATCTGGTATATCTATACCTTCAAGATCTTGCAAAGTTTTTAAAGCTTTATCCTTTTCTTTCTCTGCCGATGCCAATTGCATCCTATTGATATCGAGTAGTCCTTTTTGTTTTCTATTTTCTGTCTTAAGTTTCTCAATTTCAGCCTTTATGGACACATTTTTTTCTTCAGCAAGTCTCATTCTTCTTTTAATATCCAGCATTTCATCACGATCTTTTTGGATACTAGCTTGGAATTGGTCTCTTTCTAATTGTAAACTTTCTAACGTTCTTTCAGCTAGAGCGAGTTCTTGCCTTGCGCGCTCAAGGATTTCGTACTCAGCTTTATAATTTGCTTGAATTTCTTGTAAAGACCTATGCTCAGAATCATATAGGGTACGAACCTGAGAAAGTCGCGTTGATATTTCATTTTTTTGAATTGCAAGGTTGGCCAAATCTGTGTCAATATTAGCTCGACTCGTTTTAAATTCTGAAACGGCATCATTTAAATTATCTGCTTGGGTCTTGAGCGCCCTAATTTCACCATTTTCAATTGCCACTTTGGTGCTTATATCGGTATCTCCAAGTAGATCAAAGTCGTTTGAACCTGCTTATAAAGGATAATAAATACTTGTTCACAGAATGGAATAGCATAAAAACACACTTGAAATATATATTATTATTTCGTACTATGAGAAATAGGATTGGAATTAAAAAAAGGCGATGGTGATGAAACATTAAGACCTTGCTCAAACATCATCAATGATGCGCGCTTTCCCATTGGGGGACTTCCAATTAAGGGAACTGAGGGACTGCTTCTTATAGTTCCTGATCTTGCTAAAGAGCCAGGAAATGTAGCTGATTTGATATTGTATAAATCAAACGATTAACGATTAATATTAATGCAATTATGAATCAATCCAATTTGTAATCATCTTAAAGAAACAATAGCTCGTATCAATTACTAAGAGCAAGAATATTTAAGAGAATAATTAAAAAAAAAGAAGACAAATGCGTAGGAACCTTTACTAGGAATTACCATTCAGTCATTATAACATGAGATTTTAATTAGGAAACCGTAATCATTCTATTTTCATAAACAAAAATTCCCAGCAAAGGCCCATTTCTTTGGCTATTATATAGGCTACAATTACATTTGTTTTTTCCAAAAATACCAACGTTACTCATTATTAAATAACTGGGGGACCTACCAGGCATAGATCGCAATGACGGTGGAATAAGGCTTGGTGGTAAAACGGTAGGCAGAATCGCTCCATTCATCTTTTTTACTATTAGATGCATGGCAACAGCAAATTCATCACGATTAAGAGAACCTGATTTTCTGATGTCTGCAAGATCCCTAGATTAATATCCAGTCATTGTTTTGTAAAGAGCTATTGAAAAATGACACTGATAATAAAACCAAAAAGAGCCATAAATTAATTTTACCATATCTGTGCCAATACATTTGGCGTTAACCTAGATTTCATGAAGAAACTCGCTGCTTCATCGCCTATTAAATAATAGTTTCATTCTAAGATATAATCAATACGTATCTTATGGTAGCTCGCAAAGATATTTAAATGAGCGATTATTTCACCTGTGAGATATCCTTTATTACTAATTCCGTCGAGGGAATTGAAATATTTATCGTATGTTGCTTTATCTTCAAGAGTCACGTCCCATGAATAGTCTTGAATAACAGGAGAAATTGGAGAATCCACAACACCAGCAATTTGCTTAGGAGGAGGTTGCGGCGAAGTTGGAAAAGATGATGTGCTTATTGATGCACTTGGTGTTATTCCTGAGGCCATGTCATAGAATCCGTCCGGGAGTACAGACGGAAGGCTTTTAATTGTACCGTTCATAGTATTTTGCACAAAATACATTGCTATAATAAATTCCGCCATATCCAATTTTCCTCGCCCTCTTGTATCAGCCAATGTCCTTGAAAATCATATCAAAAAGTTGACAAATAATATAGATAATGATTGAAGCTTTTTTGAATGAATAACCGAATATCTTACCAAATTTGGCTGAGTTTGTCAAAGGCTAATTTAGATTTCGTGAGTAAATCTCTAGCTTTATCGCCTAAAAATTAATATTGGTTTAAAATATAAATATCTCAAATTACAAGTAGACCAAAAAAAAAAAAATTTACCATCCAAATCGCCATTGACAGGATTTAGCGTGTTAAACATTCGTATATATTTTTCTCGGTCTTCGGTTGTGATTATATGAACACCATCAAAATGTGGAAGAGGTGAAGCTGAGAATTACAATTATCTAAAGTTATGAAATAATCAAACTTGATCAAACAAAACAATCACAATTACGATAACGAACAAATTACCAGCATTAATATTAGCGGGATCAGGCGATTGTCCATTTTGTACCTTAGCGATTAACTTTACGGCAATACTAAAGCTTTGCTGCGACAAATACCCCAAATTTTCACTATCTGCGATCTGCCATATCTAAATTCATGATACAAATTAAAGTTTATAAAAGAAAAAAAAAAAAAAGATAAGAGTAAAACACTTACTTCACTCAAAATTGAAGGCGATAAACCAGAATTTGAAAAGAATTTGACAGCATGTTGCCCTTCGATCACACCCTTTTTATCAACATCAGCAAGTTGGAAAAGTTGACCAAATACTCGTTTTTCTTCGGGAGTAAGTACAATTTGCGGACCTAAAAATTGATAGTGTGGTTTAATAATTTTAGCCAAGGCTATTAAACAAGCTAAAATTGTTCTCACATGGGAAATACCTTTACTTGACGTTCTTCGAAATTGAGACATGTTCGGGATACTTGAATTGTTGAAAATAATTTAACGAAAGGTTGGTTTCACAATTCTCCAATGATAAAATAAATGTTATTTAAAATTAGTTGAGGGTAAAGAATTCAAATCGAATTATCAGAAATACAACGAATGTTACACGGCGTATAATATTAGTGCAGTAACGGTAATAAGCATGTATAAATGCATATCAATCAATTATTATTAGCGTTAGTAATTTCTTTTCTCGAAATGTTAACGTTAATATTGAATAATGTTTTAGGAATTTTGATGGTCTTCGGACCAGTACTAGGTTATATAGATCAAATAATAAAATTTAGGACGACGAAATCTAGTTTTGGTTTCTCTTTAGATACCCCTGGAATATTATTAATTAGCAGGTATTTATTTTACGAAATTCGAGGATATGCAGTTGCTGTAATTACTTTTCATAGCAGCATACTTTTAAAATTTTCGAAATTAACTTGTTTTTATATATTTAGCATAATTCGTGTTTTCTTTTGGTAAGTTTTTTTTTTTTTTGATGGCTTATTTTACCGAATTATTTTTTCATTCGTGGATAATTTTTTTTGTTTACAGGATTGGCAAACGATTCGACATTGTACTTCTATATCAAAGTATAGTAATGATTATCGTTCAAACGTGGCTTCTTTACGAATGCATTAGATATCGTAGCCCGACTTTGTCAATTCATAATCGTAAACGCTGGTTCTGGAATTGGAGATCTTTTAGGCCTTATATGACTTGTTTGATAGTTTTACTTGGGCATTTGATATTTTTTTTTAATTTTTTTGGTGATCAGGTTTGGTTTACAGAGCTTTTGGGATATTTGGTATGTTGTAATATTTATATCTTCTCATGTTTGGCATAAGAATTTCACAAATTTTTATAAATTCAAGGCACTTGGAGTTGAATGCACACTTCCTATGCCTCAAGCGTTACAAAATTATAAAAATCAATCCGTTTTGGGATTTAGGTACGGGACCAAATTCACTTTCATGAGAATTTATAATTTATTAATCTGTTGTCTCATTCTATTTATTCTATTTCCATTATCAAACTATGAAAGTCTGTTTATTCTTATTACATGGTTTATTGGTGATTCTTTTAAAATATATTATTACGTTTTCTACAGTGAGAATTCACCTCTTCAATTCGCGTTGTGTAGCGCAGTGCAACTACTAGTTGATAGCATTATCGTTGTGCAATTTATTGTCTATGATAAGAACGATAAGAAATAGAAAATATTTTGCTTTTGCGAGCATGAATTTCAACTTAAGCAGTTTCATTACGGTGGCAAAGTTAACGGTCAGTAAAGTCAGCTTGTTTTCCGGTGTTAAAGAAAAATCTCGAATATCTAAATAATACAAACTTCAATCATATTTTGTAAGTTTCGTTGGTACATGGTTTTGACACAAATGTGCTTAATCTTACCTTTGGATGAATTCATTAATCACGCATTTATTCAACGCCATGTTAAATTCTACTTTTATTAGTAAAACGAGATCAGAGACGTTATTTATATTATCCTGTCTCAAGACTCTGTATCCCTATATAATAAACAGTATGCAATTATAAAATTAATTGGAAATAGAGGAAATCGATTCCGCAATCAATTCCATAATTGCCTGGAGTATAGCGAAGGACTTACAATAGACAAAAAATGATTTAGATCCGGTTACGTGATCACCAACTAATCAGCATTTAATAATTGTTACATTGAAATTAAGTGCCTTTACATTCATACCATAATAACAAGCTTCCAAGTTTGTTGCACTTGAATGGCCAGTTTTAGTATCAGGACTTTGATCTGTCATTTTCAGATCATTAAATTTACTATAGTCTGGCGATCGAACCCCTAATACTTTCGCTATATCACTTGTCAAGTACACTACCAAATGAATATAAAATTAATTCGTATATTGAAAATAAAGTTTATTGTTAAATTGATTTTTCGACTTAAAGCTGAAAATTGATATTAAATTCTTTAAATTATGTACCACAGTAAGTTAATAACGCTAAAGAAAAAATGTATGATACACGTAAAAATGCGACCAAACAATCTAAAAACAACCTAAACTACTTGACCAGTTTTAGTAACATCGAGCTCAATTGAACGAATGAATGAATTGGAATTGCGTTAAACATAGATAGTAGCCTTAAAATTTTGGGGTTTAGCAAAAAATTATATATTTTTACTATTAAAGTTATTCTTTAGTAGAAAGGATTTGTTTCACCCATTTCATGTTCTTACAAGAATGCCCATACATAAATACATGAACGATTAACTATATAATACGATTTCGATTGACTTTTCGTTTATTACGTTTATTTTTTACACTTTTACATTCTTTATTAAACAATTTCGAATCTTTAATAAATTACATTATTGTAAATAATTTCAAACCAACTATTTTTGTTAAAAAATCGATCAATATTAACAACTGTTTTAATGTTTCTATATTACAAATCGTAATTCAAATTCGTCAATGTACTTGTAAAATTCTTTTTTTTTTCTATCATCGTTATTGCTATGCTGTTATTGCTTAAAATTTTTATGGATTTTTGCTTATAGTTTTATTCTACTTTAGATTTAATTGAATTTTTTTCTTTGATTATTAGCACATTTAAATCAACAAACCTTTTTTTTTATAACGATAAGTCGTTCTTTTTACTGTGTCAGATCAACAACCCAAATCCTGCACAGGATGTTATACTATTCAAAAATAATGAAGATTTTTTGAATGAAAAAGGAATCAAAGTAAAAAATTTTACAATTCCGAAACCAAATTAAATTATCATGTTCAAAGAATAATCAAGAACAACCTGACACGACAATTATAAAATTTTATCTTGAAAAAAAGTGATTTAAAGTTCAAACATTTTTATAACGATAGTAATAATAAATAAATATAACAATTTATCTTAACATCTTGAATATTTTTTGGTATGGTCCGGTGCAAAAAGATTTGTACCTTAAAAATTTTTTTAATTTTGGTACTAAGTAAAAATTTTTAAATTTTTAATTATTTAATTTTTTTATATGAAATAAAGTAGGTTCTAATCTAACTTTTTATTATTATTTTTATTATTTTAATACAGATTTATTTCAATAGTTTTTTTTTTTTTTTTAAATATTAAGGTGAGTACTTGCGACCCAGGATTTTATTGATAGTACATTCAGCTAATGG